CCCCAAAACCCCAAAACCCCAAAACCCCAAAACCCCAAAACCCCATACAGGTTTATAATTATTGTAACATGAAGAAAATGGAAAAAATCAAACCCTTGCCTCAGGATTTGGCCGCAGAGTTTGAACCAGACCACAAAAGTTCAGTGTCACACTCAGACAATAAAAGTTCTGTTTCCAAAATGTAAGTGTATCTTCAGATATTCTTATGACGAGGATGAGCATTATTAATTTGTGTAATCTAGGAGTTCAAATAATAGAGGTACAGTATTGGCCAATACACGACCCAAGAAAATTAGTTTTAGAAGGCCCTGAATTATTCCTTCAACCCAAGAGTGTCTTCTCTATCCTTTTACTGATCTCAGTAAATGGCAGTTTTTATAAAATTGTTTCAAATTTCATTTTTTATAATTTCTTCCCAACTTATATGTAGAGTCTGTAATAAGCAACAACTCTCCAAATATGAAAACAGGGAGGGCTTTGAAATAAACCAATGAAGGAAAATCCTTTCCTATTTGAGCAGAGTAGACAGACATCAAGAAAGAGCTTCATTGTGGATAGGATAAACTCGTTTGCATCAGTGAAGAAGTTCCAAGTCTTACCTCCAATAGTACATAAACCTAAAATATCAGATAACAATGTTGGCGTCTTTGGAGAGACAAAGACTCCTCCAGATGGGAGGTCAGAAGACAAGGAAGGGTCTTCACATGACCAAGAAAAGAGCGGATGCTTTCTTGTTTCAAAAAATTCTCGGAAACTTCTTGCTGAAAGCTCAAAAATTCTTAATGCCTCCATTCATGACTGCAAGGCAGATATTATTGATAAACTTGAGATGTTCTCGGAAGATGAGCAGAGACTGAGCAACCCTGATGAAAGAAACAAGAAATGAATCTTCAGAGCACATCTTGGGAATCGTCTCAGATGGGAAATATTTATAATTTTGCTAGCTATCTGGAATGGATTTTCAATCCCATATAGTGTAGCATTTTTAGACCCAGATCGCGAGAACATTGGGTGGGTGATAGTAAACAGCCTCACTGATTTCATGTTCTTCTTAGATGTAGTGATCAATTGTAGGACTACCTTCATCGACGAGAAAACATCTGAAGAAATATTTGATCCAAAATTAATACTAAAGCAATACTTAAAAGGCAGATTTTGGCTTGACATAATTGCGAGCTTACCTTTTGATCTCATTGCAAAGCCATTCTTGTCTGGTAATGGCGATAGTTCTTTGTTTCAAATGCTAGGAATCTTAAAACTCATTAGAATTTTGAGACTATCTCGCCTCATGAGCTTTATGAATTTAAAAGACCATGTCAAAATGTCTCTCAAATTATTCAGACTGCTATTCTTTATTATTCTGTATATTCATTTCATAGCTTGATTACTGTTCTTTTTCAGGAAGGAAAACAGCTGGCTTCCTCCTCTAGAGTATGGATGGAAGGATGAGGATCTTTTTCAGGCCAGTACTAGTAGACAGTACACCACATCTCTATACCATTCAATGCTGGTATTGGCGGGTAACGACATTGCACCATCGTCTGATTTGGCGTTCATACTCCAAACAACTTTACTCCTGCTATCTTCAATAATAAACGCTAGTATTTTCGGTAACTTAGCAGTTCTTCTCCAGCAGATGAATCTGAAGGCAGCTCAGCTGCAGGAGAAGGTAGAAAATGCTAATTCAACGATGAAATCCCTGAGAATTCCTGAAGATATTCAAGATGAAGTAAACATGTACATAATGAACACTCATAATAACATTGAACAGCAAAATGAGTTGGATACATTTCTGTCCCAACTATCGCCTTCTCTTCAACTACAGATTCGTAAAGCTATCTTGAAGGATGTTATCAGCCAGAATGATGTGTTTGAAGGCTGTGATGGAGCTATTTCATTTATTCTTCGAGACCTATCAATTTTGCTCTTTCAACCTGAAAGTATGATCATACGACAAGGAAGTGAGGCTGAAGAAATGTACTTCATTGCTCATGGCGCATGATCCATTTATGTCAATGATGAAACAAAAGGGGAAATCTTAGTTAACCAAATCAAGGAAGGAGAGTATTTTGGAGAAGTTGCTCTGATCAAAGAATGAAAGCGCACTGCGACTGTAAAAAGTTCGTATTATACCACCTGAGCTGGATATCATAAAACTCATCTTTACGATTTATTTGGCAAGTATAAATTTATCAAAACCAAAATGGAAAAAAAGATCCACAAAAATTATCAAGATAAATGGAAAAAGTTTATGATTACAGCTTTAAGGAACATTGTGTTCCTTGAAAACTCTACAATTCCAGATGAAGTTATCGAAGAGATCACCTACAAAGTAAAGACAGTCACTTTTACAGCAGGAGCATCTATTTTTAAGCAAAACGAAAAATGATCAGACATTATTATTGTTGCAAGTGGAGGTAAATTTCAATCTAAAATGTAGAAATCTCTGTATCTATCAATAACAATCAAGTCTATGACATTGAACTTGATACCCTTTACTCAGGATGCACGATCGGGTCATACAGCATTCTAAACCAGGACGACCACTCCATTTCTACCGCTGCTAAGACTGACTGTTCTGTAATCCTAATTAGTTCAAGAATACTTGAATCTCTAGCTTCAAAATTTGAAGAAATCAGTAGATCCATTGAGGAACATCAAGAATATTTGAAACAGAATGGGTTGCCTTTTCTTGACTACAGAATATACAGGACTAAAAAGTCGAATATGACTGCGAAGCAGAAATTCCAAAATGGGATCAAAAGAATCACCAAAATTGTCAGATCGTACAAGATTGACGACATCCAAGGCCTGCTCATTGGCCATAGGAAAATGCTCCTTGACAGGAAAAAGAAACATGCAAATACGATGAAAGCAAAGCAGAGCGAACAGCTGAGATTTATTAAAGACGAAGCTGCCATGACTAATGTCAAGATCAATACTATCCTAGAGCTGGTGACTAAGCAATCTAGCCAGATTAGTGAGCTCCAGAAGGAGATCAAAAAGCTGAGAGGGCAAAACAAACCTGGAGACTCTAACCTTACTTCTAGAGATCTCAAGGAAGATGACTCCTGAGACAGCAGCTCAGGCTCTTCTTCTGTCCTCTCAGACGGTGAGTACGAAAAGAAGAAAATAATATATCAAAGCAAGAGAGTGTTGCACGAAGATTTGCCCGATAATGATGAAGAACTGAAGGAAGAATCTTCCCAGAACAAGTCTAATACTCGTGGACTAGATTTTAGTAACAATAAAAAGAGGAGGTAAGGAGTTTGAATTTTGGTGATAAAGAATCCCTATAGGAGTTCAAGCCTTGCAAACATACGAGATCCAGCCAATCAGAAATAAATTTCATTTGATGGTATGGATTTTTACTCTAGTGTTTAGAGCGGATCTATCGTAGGTACCCCAGTGCAGAACCAACTAGAAGATAAATTAAATAAGGATACCCTGAAATAAATACAATAGTGGCAAAATGTAAATAAAGAAAAGACAATACTATAGGAAAAATAATATTCTAACTCCAATAAAAGATTACAGATATAGCCACTTCAAGAGCCAAAACACAAACCAAGTATCCTCCTTCCAGCCGTCCCCTTAAAAGTATAAACACATCTATGGGTCCAAAATCATGTTCTAAACTCCCAAAAAATGTTCAAACCAAAATCTAACTTAATCTAAACTCAATTCTCAATCTCCATTCTAAATATCGGGGTTTTGGGGTTTTGGGGTTTTGGGGTTTTGGGG